AGGGAAATGCAAAGAGCTGAGCAAACCTCTTGCATTAACATAAGCCAAGTAAAATACAGTTTGGGTTAGAATACTTTAAAATTAGATTAGGCTGGAAACTTCCGAAAACCTAAGTAACTTCTGCTAGCCCTTGTACTGTAATGAAGGGCTTGAGTCTGCATAGACAGATACTGCTGATGTGCCAAGACATTTCCTTGGCCAAGAGCACGCATCTCTGAGGACACGACTGTGGTACCTGAAGCTTTTTCTATCATCTTGTTTTGTACTTTCCTGTAACCAACTTTGTTGTAACAGACACCAGGAGCTAGCAGCTATTTTGCCCCATCACATTTTTGCTTCATCAAACCTTAATTCTGATCCTGGATTCTCACTACACATTTTGCTATAACCCCTTCCCTGGTAGGCACTTCTGGACTGCACATGGGGCCTAGCTCTGAAGGACAGAAGGTATGTGACCACTTGTGGCCCCAACCTACACCCCAACCCAGCATCACCCCACTGAGCCTCCCCACCCCTCTGGAGACACCTCCCACACCCCACAGTGCCCCAGCACCCAACACCTCCGCCCCCGAAGCCTTCAGCTACACTCCCTCAGCCAACACACCCCCAAAACGGCACCGCCTCTCTCAGCCCTCGCCCACTGCCGCCACGTGCCACTGCCCACCAGGGCACACGGGCCCCACGGCACCGCTCCGGGACAGAGGTGAGAGCGGTGCAGCCTGAGCGGGCCCGGGACTGGGGGTATGCAGGCTCTTGTGGGAAGAACGGGAGGTGCTGCGAAGTGGTGGTACCGCCCTGCCCGGGCTCCAGGAGGCCTCGAGGGAAATGGCACAAAAACCTGACGGCTGCAGAGCAAAGGCTGTCACCCGCTGCCTGGCCTAGGGTTGGGACCAGCACACAGAGCTGCTGCTCGGCAGAAATGTTCGCTTTTTTTCTGTGTGAAATTACACCCCTAAAAACGGATCTTCAGTATTTATGGTCATTTTGGTGAATTGGGAGAAATGCATGTATATTACATAGGCATGCATTCGGATGAAAAGTGATCTGCAACCTCTTGGTGACTTAATTACCAGTAAAATAAGCCCTGGATTTTTTGGTGTACGTAGCAAACAGGAACTTGCAGAGCTCCCTCTGTTAATCTTCCTCCCACGGACATCAGTAAATGACCCACAGGAGCTGACGAGGCATCAAATAAAGCCAGAACTTAGATTCTCTTTTCATGTTTGCGTTTTGTGACCTCTGAATGATGCCTCAATTTAATTGTTTTTCAAATTTCTTATTTCCCATCCAACAACAGTTTTGAGTTCTGAAATAGGTCTTGTAAACTGTTCAACAACAGAATTTTTGTTAACCCCACAGATCAAAGTCTATAATGAACTTCTGCCAAAGAGGCAGCTGTTTTAAAAATTAGCTTTGATTGCTTTGTATTTGCTGTTTTAGTGCTACTTTATTACCTAGCGGTACGATAATAAAATACAACTTCCCCTTCAAAGCAAAGTCTTGCCTAGGAAATAATTTCCAGGGAAATTAGCACAACCTTCTAATGACGTGAAATAGCACAAAAAGCTGAAGAGAACACACTGCGTGCTAGCGCTTTCTTAAACAGCAGTAACTTTATTGCCCACAGATAATGCAAACATTTTCCACACTTGCTGCAATTCAGCAAGTTACCTACTTAACAAGGTTCACAAAAAACTATTTATTTCAGAAGTACCCTAGTGTTCTTTGAGCATATTCTCATTTAAGGTGTTTATTATTGCTCACATCTACAGTCTGGTTGTGATTGGCCACTCAGTCATGAGATATGCAGAATTAAAGATGCTACAGGTCTTTCAGGAATTCCTTTTTAATTAGAAAATATACCTGCTTGTAGGATAGAAAACATTCCAAAATAACAACATTTGAATTTCTGAGTCCAGACTTTAGGCACAACACATCAGGATTAACTTTAAAGCAGAATGGAACATTAATAGAAAAAAAAAATGGTACGTTGATTTTAAGAAATAACAGCACAGATTAACTGTTCACACTAAGGATGCTGTAGTGTCTTCTAAAAAGACCCCAAAATAAATAGGAAAAATATCGTTGGCAAAAAATTGAACACATCCTTATGAGGTCAACACAATTACTCTGAGCAGTGCATTACTGACTGTAGTTCCCTTAATCTGTTAGGGCACCTCCCCCAAAATGGGGAGCTCCTCATTTCTCTCCAAGAGCAATCATTGTTTCTGCTAGAACCAGATCCGTACATATCACCAATTTTTGAAGGAAAAGCAGGAAATGGGTGTAGCCAGGGCTTGAATTTGCCTCTGCAAAGCTTTTCCTCGCTGACAGTGTAAGAGCAAGGGACAGACCTGGCTGGTACCTTTTGACAATGAACGCTCCCGCTTTACCTCTCGATAGAAGGCGGCTGCACAAGTGTTAAATTGCAGTTCGGTGCAATTTCCCCCCTCATATCCTGTCTAAAAAAGGAATTTGAATTTAAAGGCAACAGTAAAGCACATACATGCATAAAGAGAAAGTTTTGCTGTGTTTAAGTCAGAACACCAAGAAAATCAGAGAGGCAACTAATTGCTGGGATATGCGAATGAAGGTTGAAACCCCTGCACTGTGACTGGGGCACAACGGTGTTGGCGTTCATGTGGAAAGTAACACTGTGGTGCATGAAAAAGTAATTAAGAAATGATTTCGTGGGTATTCCCAACAGAGACATTTAGCAGCACAGAGGGACCTTCCTTCCCTCACACGCTACAAAATCCTGCTCCACACTAATATAACACTGCGTAATCTCAATTCCACTCATTAGTGCCAAAGTGATGCATATCTCTTACAAATGGCCAAATCCACAAGCAAAACATTTAAACCAGAAATTGTTTAGGTCTACATTTATTGCAGATATTAAAAGATTAACAATGCTAACATCTTTACTTACACTAGAAAGAAATGTCAGTTATCCAATAACATGAGCATCTAATTGTTACTAGCGTAGCACTACTGCCCATTTGCACGGAACAGAAACTAGCAAATTGCTCTACGAGATTTAATGGCAAAACCCAACCAAAAGACAGCAGACACACCACTGAAGTTAGTTAAAATGTTCACTGAAGCTTGCAGTCTTCATGGAAGAGAGCCTGGAACTAAAATAACAGAAAAGAAGCTAGTAAGCTTTAAACAAGGCAATGCATCGGCATAACAAACGTTTCACATGTACAGGTATTTAAAATTCTCAAATCAGAGCTGCCTGCAAAAGCAGGTCAAAATCAAAGGCAATTCCTTTTGCAAAAGGAGCGTACGGTCATCTCTTGGTAAAACAAGATAAAAGTGGCAAAGGGTGACCCACTTGAGAGCAACACTGGAATCTCAGCACCGGTACTGCTCAGGTGTCTTGTCCAAAATTAAAGTTTGGCACAAGAAAGAGACCATAACACAGTTATAAGGGCAGCCGATTATGATTTCCCTATTGTTCACCTTTATTCTCAAGACAGCGTTAGAGTCTACATTGAACTGTGCTCAGAAAGGACAGTACCATTTTCCAATCTGGATACCAAATTCTGCCAGACTGGGTAAGTTGGTGTTTAGCCCAACAAATTGGGGTAAAATTTGAGCAGCGCAGAACGCTGGTCTGGGTCTGAGAGAGGGGATTTCAACCTAGCATGAAACCGCACTTCATGGTAACGTATACTCGAGAATTCTTCCAAAATGTAAACGTGAACGAAGAGGGGAACTGGAAGTTTGCAGGGAGATTAAAATTGCAAGCAGCAACATGGGCACAGCTTCATCACTGACACGAAAAGAAAAGCTAAAACCTTTTTGAGGAGCTCTGAGAAATAAATCGGAGGCCAACAATACTGGTTGCAGAGTGTTATTCTAAACCAGCCTGTGACTGAGAGATCTCCTTTCCAAAACACTCCAGTTTCACACTGGGGAACTGCAAATTAGGCACAGGAAAGACAGAGGGGCAGTGAAGAGTGCACCCAAATAGGAACTTGAGCATACACTGCCAAATACCCCAACTGAGGAACTTTCAAGCAGCCTGTTGTCCAAACCATTCAAGGATTTTAAACATCTCCAAGTAAAGCCTATGAGAAATGTCTGGGCTATCAACTGTCCTTCGTGGAGTATGCCAACCAAATTTATTTCTATAAATAGAGTTCAACTTCTTGCAATGTAAAGGTGAAGACACATGATGCTCTTGGAAAAACAGAAATATTTTCTATTCCTGCCATGGTGGTTTTATTTTAGTGATTATGTGCTTCATGATTTTGTTTCTCATGGTTTCAAAGACTCATACAGTAAGGGAAAAAAAACCAAACCAATAACTTGCATTCCTAAATTAAAACTGGCTGTTACAGGCAAGAAAAAGAATGAAAATGAAGACACTCCCTTCCAACCAGCAGGGTTTTTAATGGAGAAAGAGCATAATTTTGTTCGTTAAACAGCAGGCACAGGCAACCTGATAACTGAAGCACACATTTGCTTGCGTATTTGCCAGTGAGGCGCTTGAGATGCTGCCATGTCACTGTGGGGTGCTGTTAGTGGCGCACCACAAGCTCTTTGCTCTACCAGAAGCACGATGCAGGATGAGGACATCAGCAAGACAGCACTGACTCCTTGGAAGCAAAACATGCGTCAGCTCAAGACAACTCCTTAGAACTTCAGGGAAACAGGTTTGGGTGCTACAGCGTTCAAGTGAAGACTTCTGACTATTTGAGAAAGGTAATGATGGAGAATGAGCACACTAAAAAGTGTGATACTAAATTCAGCCACGTCAGTAATCCAGGCACTGATCCCCTATTGGAGTGCAAGTCAGGAAAAGATGAACAATCAGACCTGGAACGTTTCGTTGTGGTAATACTGCTAAATCTGTCAAGTCTTCAGCACTGCTTCACCAAGCAGTTGGGCAATGCTTTTTGTTGAAGCCCAGCGGATTAATCCAGTCTTCTCTTTCATTAAGTTCTGGAATAGTCCCTTAAAAGTACAAGCTTTTTGTCTTATTTCTTGGGATTTTTCCATAAAATAACTTCTGCAAAGCAAATTTTACTAGAAACAGAAATTACTCTCTAATCTGATGGTCTTTTAAGGCAGATGATGAACTTCCAGATGACTTCTGAGTGTCTGCCTTCGAAAGATTTTCTTCAGTATTTTCTACAGACACATGAACTGCACCCACTCATGGCTTAAACCTCTTTGAGAAGGAAAGAAATTACTCAAGAATTTTTTGCAGAAGAGCTGCAAATCTGTGTGAAAACAAAAAGTACACTTCAAATATGTACTACTTGTTCACTGCAGTGAAAAACCTTAGCAGCCGAGGTTTTCAAGGAAGAGTTTAGTGTTCTGAGACTCAGATGAACTCAGTTATTCATCCTATACTTCAGGTCTAGAATCCTGTACAAAACAAGCACGCAGGTAGAGACTCTTCTTGAAATTGGTGGATGGAGAAAAGGAAACTGCTTTATGCAGACTCTAGAAGTAAACCAGATTAGATCAGCCCATCAATAAAATGTAGTAAAATCAAATCTGAACTGCCTTGCAAAACCAGAACCAAACAAGGCTAGTTTTGTATTTCATGTTGCTTATTCTGCCTTTTTTGGTAAGCCATCTGATCAACAAAACAGGCAAGCTTGGCCAGAGAGAGAGGTAAACAGGCACTTCTGAGAACAAAATCAGTAGTTTCTTCCTCAGAAGATGACATTCAAGTCATCAGTTTGCACAATTAAATACAAGACTAATTTCATCTTGGAAAATGTTTTAACACATGAGTATTCATGTCCACTACTATAGAACAAAGGGTCCTTCATACTGGCATACTTTGCTGGAGATCTTTCACACAGCAGCCTTTGCATATCCGTACACTCTCTAGCGAGCGAGTCCTTATGTCAAACCTAGAAAGTAAGATTTGGGGTAATTCAGCAGTTCAAAGCAGTTCACCATAGGTCTGGATTTTCACGAAATGCTAAGAAGCCAGATATACTCATGGAAACAGTAATATTTTCTCGGTAGAGTTAAAAAACCCTGGTATTTCAACGTTTGCAGGAATTCATAAACCAGACGTGTCCATTGCACATACCTATTTACTTGCTCTTTTCTGCCTGTACATTTGTATCATTCTTTGACGGAAAACATCAAATGCATCTTCTTTATTTTCTTCCCCTGCAACACCCAAGCCCTCCCCTGCAGAGGTAGCACCCCTAGGGAGTAAAATGAATAGTTAGAACACTCTGTTCCTGTTACGTTTGACAACGTGCAGAAGAGATCGAAACAACAGCTGTCAACACAGACACAATTCAAGTGGAAAGCAATTCTGCTTCATTTGGGGGAGAAGGGGAGCAGAGGTTTGGTATCTGACATCCCAGAGCAATTCTCAATTCCCACCTCCCATTACGCATGCAAACACCCCCAAAAGAAAATGCTCCTATGGTATAAGGGGAGCAGTGAAGATACAGCCATCTAACAGATCAAATTATTAAATGAACTTTTGTATTAACCACTTTTTATTCATAGTGAATAGGATCCTCCGTCAAAAGATATTAAAAAATCAGACAATTTTTGCCATTTCAAAAATGACAGAAGACTTTGAGGAATGAGTAAGAAACACCACATAACTCTGGATAAAAGATGAAATTTTTAACAAGGGAACATAATGCTGCTTGCTTACAATTTCCAGCACCCAAAGCAAGCTGAAGTCTTGCAGGACACACACTATAGACCAAACCTGGAGTTCCTGCCCTTCCAAGAAAAATGAGCCATTAATTCGTATCTCTTCACCCAAACATGCCAACAGAAGTAGACAAGCCTCAACAATACCAGAACAGCTTTCTGCCCTGGAAGTAGATGGAGAGGAAGACCCACAAGAATGCAGAAATAAAAATAATTTAAAACCATCTCTTTCTTCAGGCTACGTGCAAGGAACGTAGATGGTACAAAGCTAAGATTAATGAAACTTTGCCACAGGAATGATCCTCTGTGCCAGTTTTATCCTCCAAGTCAGCTACATTAGAGTTCTCTATTATAAAGATTTCATTATGTGAAGTAAGAAAATTTAGATTGCTCCGTGTACTGAAATTGGGATTTCTGTGCTATCAGAGTAAAATCTGAGGACCTTAAGTAGAATAAAGAAAAATGACCCTTATCCAGTTTCTGTAATAACAGGTCCACTTAAGCCAAGTACATTGTTGTGCAACTCTAAAAGAATATTCACAGACTCCAGAAAGCAAATTCAACTTTACCATCCACAGCAGAAACCCCGGGCTTTGTTTTTCCTTCGGAATGGCACAGAGTCTGACTTGATCAGTTCGATCAAGCTAAGTTACACTTTAAATTACAGTTAGAAGTGAAGTCACCTAAAAGACCTCCCAAAATTCTGCTTTTTTTCACTTTTTATAGTATGATCTATTTGAAGCAGACTCTTCATTTGCCATTTCCATTACACAACAGCTGCTTCATAATTCCAAAAAGGAAGTTTTAGAATGTGAACTGTCAGACCAGACACAACTAAAGAGTTCATGATTAACTGCGCAGCGAAACTTGTGCCAGGAGCTAGAGAAACAAAACAAAAATACTCATGTATTTGCTCCCATCAAGTTTTGAAGTTAAGACTCAAGGTTCTAACACTGGTGAATGTAAGAGAGCTGCAGACTGCTCTCTCATTGCCCGTTTGCTGCTGAAGAAGGAAATACAGAAAATGCAGTGGTAGCCACTGGACCATGGGGAGCAGTAAGGAATAAAGCAGTATCTTGCCAGCTCAAATGACCAGTGCTGTCCAGGCATGAAGAGAAAACAGAAATCCCTGGTGAAAGAAGATTGTTAAATCACAGACTAAATGTGTGAGCAGAAAGCTTGTCATATGGGTTCAGAGAGAAACAAACAGGTTTTGCCTCCTTATTCAGTCAGGGAGTTGAAGGAGATATTATCCATTCTCCGTGCTGGCAGCAGTGGACACTGGACACAGCAACTTTAAAAGACAAGTGAAGATTCAAAAGCAAAAGTGTATTTTAAAGGAAAAAGCACACTTACCTTCTGGCAGATGCACTTACCTCTTTCAGTATGCAGTGGAATGAATCACACAATTAGAGTGAAAATAAATGTGTTGCCTAAACATGTAAGTACTGTGTATGATAGTCCTAAAGTCTATTTATATACTGTGTACCTGGCATGGTAGCAAGGAGATTCCCAGGATAATACTAGGTGTTAAAAAAACCTAAATACACTAAACAACAAGAAAAATCCAATTGCCTGATGAACAGGGGCACCCATATATCTTTACAAAGTGTCTGCACGTTGTAGCGTTCAGGTTGCAGCCTTTAGTGACGTCAATTTGGGTGGCAAAAAACAGCCACCTTTGCCCAGCCTGGCCAGAAAAATGCATGGAGTCTCCACACTCAACTTTGCTGAGGGCAGAGGCCAGCACTGGAAAGGAAACGAAACACTGAACCGGCCACATCTAGGTGGGTTAGATAAATACAGTTACTATTTGAATCCCAGCCATTTCCAGAGCTGTCACATTGCTGCAGCGTGTTCCCGTTACATACACTTTTACAGGCTCTCTGATTCCTTTTCCTCGTGTACCGAGGCCATGTCCTTCTTGCCAGCCCATCTTCTGGAGCATCTGGAAACCCACATTCCTGTCCGTCAGTTTCTTGTGTGAAAATTCCAAATCTTTTGGTTTCTATGAGAGGAAAAAACAGAAAAACAAAGTCATTTTGTTATACAGGGAGATCATGTATTAAAAACCTCTCAATCTCCCCCTCCCATAAATTAAGTGTTTGAATTTCTGGATACAGAGAAATATCTTCTACACAGCACTTCACTACCTACACAGAAAAAGTCTACCAAAGAGTAAATATCTGCCTTGCCAGTTTAAATATATATATTTTTAAACTGTTTAATTACATTATTAAAATAGCAAAGAATACCCCTTTGCATTTTAAAAGATAGTTATGTTTTTTCACTAACAAATATTGATCTGCTGACTGAATCCCTATGGTAAATACAGAAGCAGTCGAATCACATTTCACCAATTTTTGGAAAATTACAACATATTTTCCAGATAGCAACGCACTTATTTTTTAATTTATTATTTTTTATCAGAAAACAAGATTAATACACAAATGTTCAGTAGTGCTCAAATCACAAAATGTTTCATTTTCACACAGGTAGTTAAAAGATAGCAGGAGACATGGCTCTCCTCAGATTTAGTGCAGTCTTTTTCAGCTTCTTGGGTTTTAATTCGATTTTACGACAAGGACACATTTTCTGATGCTGTCAGAATGCAATGGCAAGCCAGAAGAGTTCTTTACCTTCTTCTTCTTCGTAACTGGGCAACCACGAGGCCTATCATAAGCAATTCTGACAGGTTCATGCACTGCAAATCAAAACAATGACAAAATTCAGCTGTAAAGAAAACCAATTTTAATACAGAACCCTCAAGAGAGATCAGAATTTTTTTTAAAAGAGGGTTTTTTTTCTCCTCTACCACAAAGAATTAATTAAAACATGCATGTATTTTGCTTTGGACATATCATGATGATGGATGATAATCCTAGAAGGACTTCAGATCTTCATTTCCTGAGCTTCTTTAATACACTGATAGAAAACTCAGACTAGACTTAACTGAGGTTATTGTACATCATTTTCATATCACAAACTACAACCTTCACCAATAAAAATCATGATGCAAAGACAAGACATTTGTTAAAGTAACTGCAGAGCACATATAAACAGTTTTAAGCTACTTATCTCTCAATTCTTAGAATATCAGGACCCACGCCTGCTGTGGCCATATAGACAAAACCTGACAGGCCAACCTAAAGTCTAAATATATTTAGTCAAATGCTCAAAATGTGGTCAGTGCCATACTTAAGTCTGTTAAACCTTCCATACACTGATAAAATAAACCCCACAAAAAGTACTACTGTGAGTCTTTTAAGCAGCAGAGAGGATAACATTCATATATACTTAAGAGAATATTTGAGGAATGGTGTTTGACACAAACTTCGCTGTTGCATCATCATATGAAAACTGTTACGCCATTCAGATTCCCCTTTTCCCACTTGATTGAACCTTTAAAGCAAACATTGCATTAATTTTTGTATTAAAGAAGTGTAATTCTTTTAGCCATTAACAATCAGTAACAAAGTACAGAAAAATCAGGAATTCTGTACTGATACCTACAAAATGTCTTTTAAACACTCACCTTTTGGTTCTTCTATGAGGCAAATCCTTTTAGACGCAGGAATCATACCAACTTTCAGAGACTTGCTGCTGATTCGTTTGCGAGGAAATAGGGTACCAGGAGCAGGAGTGGATGCCTGTGTCGACAGATTTGGTATAGCACCATCAGATGATGTGGCTAGCTGCATTTCACCTGCTGACATTTCCTCTCCTGTTCTGGAAATCATCTCTTCAGTCAGGTTTTCCACACTTCTACCTGCTGAGATGTCATCCTCTTCTCCCTCCTCTGCTTGCTCCATTTCCATCTCTTCCAAAGGTTGGGAGATATCCTCCTCAAACTCAGCTTCCTCCTCATTATCTTCCTCCTCTTCTTCCTCCTCCTCCTCCTCCTCTTCTGAAATATCCAAGTTTCTCGTTTCAGGTTTAGCACTCTCCCCAGCATCAGTTGCTTCTGACACAGCACTGAAGTTGATAGATGGGCATAACTCATAGACTTTCATTCGGTAAAATTTGAAAGCAGAACTGTTACGATCCTGTAGAAACCTGAGCAAAAATTACAATGAAAATAATATCAGAGATTTTCTTTAGCAAGACATTAGAAATAAATCTCTTATCAATTTTTGGAATGTGTATTTCCAGGTGTGTTTTTGTAGAACTGCAGGATACCCCAAAAACATGTACCAAGAACAGCAATCATCCTCCTCAGTTCTTACAGGCTTTTATCAGCACTTTTCAACCTGTACTGTAAAGAATTTGGTAGGATTATCTTCATTATACAGATGGAGAAACTAAGACAAGGTGCTACTGCTGGATGCCCCAGAAGGCAAACAGCAGACCCCAGAGGAGAATTCAGGTCTTCCAAATTTCAGTCATGCGGTCTATGTGGAAATAGGTGTATTGATTCTGAGAGGCAGAGGAGGTAACAGGGCTCTGTTTTTGTTGGCACAGTACGACTAAAAGAGAAAAAATCCGTGCTAATTTACACTAGAGTATTTAGGCCATTGTAATCAAAGCCTCACTTGAACACAACAACAAAAAAGCCCAAGAAGTTGCAAGCTGATTACTTAGGATACAAAATAAAAAAATATCAGTGCGTGGATGCATTTGGGAGAAGAGTTTTTCTTTTTAGATACTTCAGATATTCACCATTAATAGAGGTGCTGAGCAGGACAACAGGGAGCATTACTCAAAATCCTCTGTTCCTAAACACATTGGATAAAAGCGTACAACTCAACAAGCAGTAAAAGGAATTATCTCCTTAGTAATTGTTTAGATGCATTTTGATTTTTCTTATCGGCCCGTTGACACAGATAAACGTGTAGGTTACTCACCAGAGGTCTGGGTTATCTGCACTGTTGTCTATGCTGAACTGCTCAATTTCTGGTCCTACCTGAGCAACGAACTTGGCAAGCTTCTCAGCAGTCTCCATTGTTTTAGCATCCACTGCAAGAAACAGAATGCTGGTGATCTATAGCTTCATACAAAATCTGCATCACTGGAAGGTCAATACAGTTGAGAACTACCTACTTCAGCAAAATAAATTATTTTTAGAATTTCCAGTAGAACATTCTGGGCAGTTCTTTTCTCATATAATTTACAATTTAAGATTTAATCTTGAATCTTCACTCACCATCAGTAAACGGAGAGGGCAATGGTGGGAAAAGTTCAGGTGGTGCTAATAAATTCTCAGAATCTGCCCTTTCCTCTGCTGTCAGAGAGGCCTCTGAACTGGCGGCACATTGAAAGGACAAGGTTGTATCGAGGGAAGGATTCTTCTCAGACGAGCTGGTTTCGGACACAGAAGGCATTGACTGGGCCGAACCTTGAAGATGCTTCTCTTGGTGCTTCAGCACCGTTCCAGCTGAAAGCACGGTCTGTGTCCCTGCGGTTGCTCTCCTCACCTTCCTTCCTCGAATACCATGTGGTGTGATAATTCCAAGCCTTTTTCTTTTAAACAGCCTTCTCTTAATACTCGCCACTTTCCTGGCATACAACATGGCCCTGACTGATTCTGTTGCAGATTCTTCCAGGGTTCTGCCATCGCCACTCGCTTCCTTTCCAGATGATGTCCGCCTTTGCATCTCCGATAACTTCAGTCTGTAATACTTGTATTCTAGGCTATCTTCATCAGACAAGAACCTAAATAAAATCATATAAATACAATGAAAGCCTGTGCTAAAGCACAATTAAAATCAACTTCTCAGACCAGAAATTCAGTAGCAATTGATGCTTTTTTCCAGGTGTATACACAAGTTGCTACATTAACCTGCATAGGTTTTTCTCAGAATAACAGCCAACTCCACTTGTAAAGCAGTACATAAAGTATGACAAGCAAATAAATGATGGAGAGTTTCTACGTAAATCATCTGGCTAGTAATTAATCAGCTATGCTGCAATTCACACATGAAGAGATACTGTCATATTAGAAGACCATTACACTTGGAAGTGTCTCAGCTTTCCTTTTCCAGCATTATTCATACAACACCAGCTCCGTAAGTCTGTTACCTTATATATAAACTACATCTGCTTATTATTTCCACCTTGTACATGTAAATTGCTTTTAACACTTTGTATTCGGACTGACATACAGTCATTACTGACAGATCAAAAGGAACATGATCTACTGGAGAAAGCAGAAGCAAGAGGACAATTTGCAGGAATATCAGGAAGTACAATTAGTGGAGGAAACATTTTCAGAAAGTCTGATTAAATATACAATAGGCTTTGATCTTACACCCATTGAATGAAATACTGAATTTAATTGAATATATTTCAAGTATCTTCAGCAGAGAGTGGTATTACGATATACTGTTCAAACACACCTACCAGTATTCAGGACAGTTCTTTTGAGCATTTCTCTCTTTGGCAGACAAGGTTCCTGAAACAATGCTATTCACGAGCTGTTCAATTGTCTCTACGACTTTCGGATCAGCTCGCTGTGGGGCTGTAGGAAAAAATAAAATGCAGTCGTTGTATTATTCTCATCAACAGGATATCAATATGTTGTATCAATATATCTTTGTTATTCTTTAACACACTGACATTTGGATGTTTTCAAAATATTAATACAAAAAGGGCTGCACTTAATACTAGAATAAATTAAAGAAACCTCACAAACTTTTTGACCGTCTTCTCAACCAAACTTAGGTTCTAGAACAGTTTATTATGATAAGCACCACGGTTTAACAAACTTATCCTTTGCCATACTGGGCAAGTTAAGCCATACTTTAAAAGGCAATTATTTATTTCACCAGAAGGGTTTTGTACAAAATAAGTGTATTTGAACAGCACTCTGAAGGGGTGAGATCCAAATTATGAGCCATTCAGTGTCAGTGCTGCAAGACCTCCCTGCAAAACTATCTGAAATTCAATTGGGAAAAAAAAGACAAGTATAGTAAAGAGTAAGAATGCTTCAGAGAGGATGAACTGGAGACAGTATTCCTATGGTCGTTAGTATATAAACAACTCCAGAGAAATATGCCTGCGTCTGATAAAAGCAGTAGCTGTAACATCTCCAGCTTTGCTTATATGCAAATACTTGCTCTGCGATGTAGCCAGTTCCAGTCCTGGGCTCCCTACCTGGAAGCTGTGGAGCTGGAGCATAGGGCAGCTGAGACAGCCAAGGGCACAGGGTAAAAGTAGATTTAAAATACAACCACGTGCAGGAAAGGGGAAGAAGGAGACATGCTTTCATCCATAAAGCTGTGTCCTGGTTTGAGCTAAACAGAACTAATTTTCTATTTAGTGATTTTACTTTTCAGCTGTCTCTTTTAAGTGGCTGAACTTGCTGAAAACCAGTAGCATGTTTTTTCCCAGACAGTGTGAACTGATAAGCTCAAGGCCAAGTGTCTCACCATGGGTGCTGTGTCTGCGCCTACAGCGGGGGAAGCAGACCCAAAACTGACCGAGGTATTCCATCCCA